GAAGCGTGAACGACTGCTCAATGCCGTGCTCAGCACAGTAGGCTGCCAAGAGGTCGGAGGAGAACTCACCACCTCTGTCAGAGTGCAAGCGCATGACAGGAAAGTCCGAGTGGAAACGCTCGCTGAGCTGGAGACGGGCTCTGCGGATCCAAGGGATCAAGACATCAGGGACCTCACCCTTGGTGTGCAAGGGGAAGACTGTGGTGTAGCTCGAGTAGTCGTCAACAACTATCAGGAAGTACCTCTCCTGACCCTGACCACGGACGCGGGCTGGGCCCCACACGTCCATGTGGAGCGTCTGCAAGGGAGCAGTCGTCGGGGGAAACGAGGAGGAGTGAGGAGCGGCGCGCTGCCGCCCCTCGACGCAGGGAAGACAAGGAGGAGCAAGGAAGGGTGGGAGGGGAGGGAGGACTCTGGGAAGACCGCAGACAAGGTACCGGGAGTGCATGGCACGAAGGCGCTGCACAGACGGGTGGCCAAGTTGGTGGTGCCAAAGGACATTCTTGTGCGCCTGAGAGGGACACGAGCAGGGGGCAGATTGCTGACCTGACGCGGACGCAGACGCAGACGCAGCGACCTGAGGGGACTCAGAGGTCAGTGTGTACAGGTCCGACCCCGGCTGCCGAGTGAAGGTAGCCAAGTGGCGGCCCGTACGAGCACACGTGCAGTGTGTCACGCGCTCGTAGGCAGGGGTGAACTGGTGAACACCCCCGTCCTGGAGTGCACTACCCGCCACCAAGTTCGTGGAGAACGAGGGGAGGTGGAGACCTGACAGTGTGCCTGACGGGACCGCAGGACAGGGAAGGACAGTGGAGGAGGTCGCAATGACCGGACCCCCAGAGGGGTCAGCGAGGGAGACAGCAACTGGCCGAGCAAGCGGCTCAAGGGCAGTGCGGTCACGAAAGAAGCAGCGAGAAGCACCTGAGTCCAGTGTGAAGGTGTGCAGTGCTGTCGTCGACTCAGTACTAGGGGGGGCGGACGCACAAGCACCTAGAGCAGCTGCCTCACCAGCACCTGGGGTAGCAGACACGCGAGTACCTGGAGCGGCAGACGCACTAGTCCTAATGCCCGGGTCGGGCGGCACACACAGGTACTCAGCACCCTCTCCACTAGTAGACATCACATATATAGCAGTGAGAATAGCATCAAAGTCTAGAGCATAAATATCAATCCCCTTCTTCAGGAGATCAACCCAGCGGGGCAGCTCAGTGGCCTGAGGGAACTGAACACGCCAAGCGTCGTTGAGACGAGCGAAGCAGCGCTGTGTGGCGTGCGGTCCCCCACACGGCTGACTAGTGCGGTCACCAGTGCGAATGACGTACGTGCAGCTAAAGCCACCCCCCCCCCCCCCCCCCCCCCCCGTGCTGAGAGTACCACTCACGGACCTCCTGGGGCGACGGAGTGTGCTGGTGGCTCTGGCCACCGCTAGCGCCTCCACGACCACCACCGCCGCCGCCACCTCCTCGACTACCCCAACCCCTGCCGCCGCCGCGTCCACCGCCACCCCCACCACCGCCTCCGCCCCTTCCACGTCCCCCGCCGCCGCCGCCACCACCCCCACCGATGCCAATAGCCCCTCCAGTCGCGCCACCACCCCCACCGCCGCCACCGCCCCCACCACCGCCTCCCCCGCTGTCACCGCCACCGCCCTTGCCCCCTTTGCCCTTGCCGCTGCGGCGCCCGCTCGAAGCAGACGCAGTCCCGACCTTCTCAGCACCAAGGAGGTCGACAGCAGCACAGAGGCGAGAGAGGGAAGAAGGGGGGAAGGAGAACACCCCTCAAAGAACGGGGTACGGGGGTCGCCAAGAGAGGCACCTACAGCGACTATGCTAGCCTCAGCTGCAAGGAGTTCCTTCTCGAGGAGGGCAATGGTGAGCTCAGTGGGGCAGCGAGCTAGGAAGTGGTCCCTGAGTGAGCGCAGAGTGTCAGGGAGGCGGTTGACTAGGTGGTAGAGAGTGAGCCAGAGTGGGGGTGGGTTCTTGGCAAGGAACACATCAGGCATGGCGTTGCGGAAGCGAGCCTCACTAGTGCGGAGGTGCGTAATGAGGTCTGCGACTGTGTGGAAAGAGGCTAAGTCGGGGAACAGATAGGGAAGAGAGAGACGGCCTAGAGCGGCAGAGGCCGGTGAGGAGTAGCGGGCAACGACAGCAGTGTACAGTGCCTGTGCAGTCTTGTGCTGCCCAAAGTGCTCGCGCTCATCTATCGGCAGGGAGTTGCGAATAGCGAAGCGAGCGTGGGCGTCACGAGTAAGCAGTAGCAGCAGGAGCAGGAGCATGGCCTAGGGCGTGATCGTACAGTGAGATGTCCTCCTTGGCAGTGAGCTGTAGGAAGAGGTGTAGGTCATCTAGCCAGGTTTCGAACTTCACTGGGCGGCCCTCAGCATCGAAAGCTAGCACAGGAGGGCTAGCCATAGCAGTAGTAGGAGTAATAGCAGTAGGGGCACCCCAAAAACAATAGGGAGTGCGACTCAGGTAGGGCGGCTCGGTCCAGTACGGGCGGCGCGGCTCGGTTCAGGTAGGGCGGCGCGGCTCGAGAAGGGCGGCGCGGCTAGGTTCGGGCGGCGCGGCTCGGTTTGGGCTTGGCGGCTCGGTTCGGGCGGCTCGGTTCGGGCTGGGCGGCTCGGTTCGGGCTGCTCGGGTCGGGCGGCTCGTTCTGGGGGGGGGCGTTCGGGGCCTCTAGGGGCGAGCGCGGGACCGATCGGGGCCTCTAGGGGCGAGTGCGGGGCCGTAAGGGGCCGCTAAGGGCGAGCGCGGGGCCGATCAGGGCCTCTACGGGCGAGCGCGGGGCCGTAAGGGGCCGCTAAGGGCGAGCGCGGGGCCGTTCGGGGCCTCTAGGGGCGAGCGCGGGGCCGTAAGGGGCCGCTAAGGGCGAGCGCGGGGCCGTTCGGGGCCTCTAAGGGCGAGCGCGGGGCCGTAAGGGGCCGCTAAGGGCGAGCGCGGGGCCGACAGGGTCGCTAAGGGGCGAGCGCGGGGCCGTAAGGGGCGAGCGCGTGGGCCGACGGGGCCTTAAGGGGCGGCCCGCGAGTCGCTAAGGGGCGGGTCGCGGGTCGCGGGGCCTTAGGGGGCCATGAAAAACGAGGCGCCCTAGGGCGCAGGTAGGTAGGTAGGTAGGTAGGTAGTGGTGGGCCCTAAAAAAATGGTCCTAACGAAGGACCTGCTCTATACCATGTTGAAATGAACAAACAGGAATGATTGAACTAACAGTGAAATCAGTACAAGTACCTAACCCTAGAATTGTGTACCCCCTATAGGCTAACCCACTGTAGCCTAAACAAGCACAACATATATAATGTTTGACATGGACATCTCGACCGCGCGTTCTTACGCAAACGCGATCACGAGTCCATACTCCTCTCAGTGGCAGAAAGCCATGGATGCAAAGATGGCTTCCTGGAAGTCCACACGCACCTACGTCGATGCAGTTCCCCAACCTGGGGTGAACATAGCCGATGGCATGTGGATTTTCAGGGTGAAGCAGCCGCCGGGTTCTCCGCCTGCCTTCAAGGCGCGTTACGTTGGACGAGGCTTCAGTCAGTGTGAGAGGGTCGAATTTTCTAGACCTTCTCCCCCACCCCGAAGATGACCACTCTTCGGGTATTACTGTACGTTGCAGCACAGCGCGACTACGAGCTGCACTCCCTCGACTTCTCGACAGCTTTCTTGCAAGGCAGCCTTCACGAGGCCATCTTGTTGCGCCGCCCTCGTGGCTTCACTGTGTCGTTTCCTGAGGGGCCCCAGTGGAGTCTTCTACGACCACTCTACAGTCTGCGTCAGGCGCCCCGTGAGTGGCACCACACACTGAGGACTACACTTGCGGCTCTTGGTTTTGCTCCCTTGACTGCGGACCCTTCACTGTTTCTGCGTACTGACATTTCACTGTTGCGGCCGCTCTACGTTATTGTGTACCTCGACGACTTGGTTTTTGCTACTGCTAACACTTAGGCAGTGGCCCTAGTGAAGGCGGAGCTGCAGAAGAGACACACCTGCACTCACCTGGGTTAGCTGCGGAGCTATCTTGGCTTGCAGGTCACCCGGGACAGAGCACGCCGCACCATCACCCTGACTTAGTCACATATTGTGCAGCAGGTCCTTCAGCGCTTCGGCTTCCAATTCTCCTCGCCTCTGTCCACTCCTCTGTCTACCGGCCACCTTCGGAGGAGTCCGTAGAGCCGAGTGGTCCGTACCCAGAGCTTGTGGGTTACCTCATGTACATGATGACGTGCACATGACGTGACCTCGCGTACCCTCTTAGCCTCCTTACTCGCTCCGTGGCTCCCGGTAGACACAGAAAGGTGCACTGGGATGCTGCGAAGAGGGTACTGCGTTGCTTGTGCAGTACATCGGGCATGGGGCTTGTGCTTGGAGGACAGGGTGCAGTTGTTCTCACCATTCGCTCAGACGCTTCTTGGGCTGACGACAAGACTACTCACCGGTCTACATAGGGGTATAGCTTCAGCCTCGGCGCTAGTTCTGTCTCGTGAAGGTCCACCCGCTCGCCTGTGTTCACTCCTCTGTCTACCGGCCACCTCAACGCTCCTCTGTCTCGTGAGGTGCTTGTTAGAGGGTACAATATTTCTCTCAACTCTTTGGTTTGTACTCTCCCCTTTGACCTAATCAACATCATTCCTACCCACTAGCTTCTAACAAAACGCGGTCCTGGTACTGGCTCTGTAATTGGAGCTTGATGTCGAGCAACCACGCGTCAAAGTCAATCGCCCATCCTTCATCATCGAGCCACAGTACGAACTCATACTCCAGGATTGGTGTCAATAGGGGCACAGCTGCAGCAAATGAGAGGGGAGGAGGAGACAGTGAGGCAATCAGAGGCAAGCCGCAACAGACACGGTGAGGCGGAGCAATAGCAGGCACGACTGCGTCAAGCAGCAGCAGGCACGACTGGTACGGTAGGTGCGAGCGGGGCGCGGAAGCGCGTGAGGCGGTAGGCACGTCAAGCATGAGCGGCAGCGGCACAAACATAACAGGCCCGGGCCATGGGCAAGCATGGGCACGGCGGCGGGCATGCCAGGTGCTAGCGCGGCAGACGTGACGACTGGCGTGACAGGCGTGGCGGGGGTATGGCAGGCGTGGGTGTGGGCAGGCGTGGGCTTGGCAGGCGAGGCGACAGGCGCGGGGGCAGCAGGTGCGGGAACGGGACGCTGCAGGTTCAGCGGCGTGGTCGCGATAAGGTAGGGGCAAGGCCGCGATGGGGTAGAAACGGGGCCGCGGTGCGGCGGCGACGAGGCGATAGAGAGAGGACCGCTAGAAGGGGCCGCGATTGTATGAGTGGCAACTAGGGTGGTAGGTGGAGGGAAAGTGAGAAACCTAACATAATTGATACCATGTTAACAGATGAAAGAATGACTAGATGAGGGCATATAAGGGGTTATGCAATATCCTGTATTATTTATGGAGCAACACAATCTAGTCTACAAAGGTTACATAAAATATGTATGAGTGTACGGAGCAAGTTTGAAACAGTTGTGTATCTGCCCGAACAATTTCTGTTTGTGCAACTAGTCGCAACACTTTTCCAAGTTGGACCTTCCTTCACTTTGATATTGGTTTGAACCACAAGAGCACCATATAGTTTACTAATTCTCCTTCTTCAGTTTTTCCTTCAAATTATCCTGGAATATCTTGCAGTGGACTTTCCACTGCTCACGTCACCACCAAGTCCTGATTCCCGCCATTTTTGGAGCCGCGCGAATTTTTTTGTGAAGACGAGGCGCCTCGGGGTTTGAGAAGGTCAGACAGAACAGTACACGCCGAGGAAACGGACGAGAATCGAAGCCGACACACAGCAGGCCCACATCTTATCATTCAGTACGGTTCCGCCTGGTTCTGGGCCGTAACTATCGGTTTGGAACGAAGTGCGCTCAGCTATGCCATTCAACCCAACGAACCCACGCAGCACCTTTGGGGTGCTCGCTCGGGAGGGGGGGCGTACGCTAGAACCTGCAATCAAGGTTCGGAATCCATCCTCACCATGGAAAACGTCGAATCGCTTCCAGAATTTTGCCGTTTGTTGGCAAGGCTGCTGCTTGCGCTACCCTTGAAAGTATTCCGCCGCCCGCCTGCCACCTGCACCAATCGCAGTTTGTTTCACATTTCAGGCTGAGCCCCTGACAGAAACTCCTTGATTTCCCACCAGTTGTTTCCCACAGCTGGTTGGGAGGGAGAGACGGTGAGGTACAGGGAAGAAACAAACGCGTTCGTGTTGCCCACAGAACTCCAGAGACTGGCTTTCACTAGCTTTTCTCCCCAACCAAACTCCAGCTTTGCTCGCGTTCATCCAGTTTTGGAATTCGGCAGTATCAGATTCTCATTTGCCAAAATCTATGCTGTCTGAAGTCGTGAACTAGGTCTACGTACTTCGTGTCAAAAGGGAGACTCTTAGTTTTTTCTAAGAACCAGCGCAGCGTTATTAGTCCCGCATGAAGACCGGAGCGAACTTTAGCTTTTCTTGTTCTCGCACATACTCGCACCTATATTGAAGGCGTTGTCTTGCTCAGTCAAGCACAACTGTTCAGTGGGATCGGCTCCGCAGGTCAAACCACGCTAGAGCAGAATCCGTTGATGCACCTTATCTGGTGGCCAGGCCCGAGGTCTCGCTTCAGGCTTGCTTACACTTCGGAAAGCGATCGAAGGTTCTGCCATTTACTTCAAATGTCACTGCGCCACGCACCAGGAACCTTCAAAGCTTTTGGAGCTTCTCGACCGACGACTCCTAGCTCAGCGCCATGTAACGGCAACGGAAGCAGTAACGCTGCGGTAGCGTGCTCGAGAAGCAAGATAAATTTCGCCGTGGGTAGCTGGCTGCTGTTCCTGCGTGGCTTCGTGCTGCTACTCGTTCTACTAGCAGTCGTAGTTGGAATCGGCTTGTACAACCCGGTACGAACTCTAAATTCTGGCTGTCAACTGGAATTGCATCATCTGTTTTCCAAATGCTTAGTTCCCACATATTCCTAGACCGCCTGACCACCTTTGGTGATTATTGGATTGACGGATTGTTTGAGATTTTAGAGAGTCCGCCTGTTTCGCTGGCATCCGCACTTGGAGTCATTCGTTGATTGGCAGATCGGCTACCCTTGTCTCTCGCTTTCCGTTTCTATCTGTTCGTTCTTCCTCAATCCACACATGACGTTTTCCTTGCCTCACTCGTGACTCACCAGCTAGGGCGAGGCTTCTCTCTCGCGCCGTGCAGCAACGCGTGGTCCCTTAAAGCTCATCGAAGCCTACGAGACATGGCCGTGCCGCAGGTTGCCGCTGCTGCCGAGGGAGATGAAGCAGCGGGCGATAATGACGTCAACACGGTGGATGACTCGCTCTCTTCAGGTGCGGATCGACTTGGGTCAAACTTGTATCTACACGTCTCACATCATTAGTGATGACGTGCGGAAGCTTTAGTTCGCTTTCACCTCTCCACTCGATCGCTGATATGGAGAAGACTTAGGAAAGTAGCTGCAAAGCAGGTAAAGAAAGTTGTTTACTTGACTCCCCCCCCACACAAAGTAGCAATAATAAAATAAATAAATCCAACACATCGCTAGAGATCGAAAGGCCACCAATTTGTTAGTAAGAAAATTAATAACATGCGCATCCCCCCACGCCCCATTAACTCGCACCACTGTGCAGACCTTGACTCCAATTCAATGGCTGCCACAAGGTTGTCCTTCAAGTCTTCGAGAGTGCGCGCTGCGGCGGAGGCGGCGGCGGCGGTGAACGTGGCGTTTGGGCGGCGGTTGCGCGTGTACGTATACGATCTGCCGCGGGAGTTTAACTACGGCATGGTGGAGCTCTTCTCGCGCAACCGAGACATCGCCATTCCCGATGGCGTCGACCCTCCCCCCGTGAGTCGTAAAGACGTGCAGAGAGAAAGAGTGTGAGGTGTAGAGGCGGAGGAAGATTTAGGTAGAGAGTCACGCGCAGCAATCGAGGGATAAGGTGAGCCTTGCGGCTTGCGGAGGTAAGGTATGAGCTTGTGGCGATCCCAGGCAGTACGCTGCTGCCGCATGTATTGACCTGGCTCAGTTTTTGCTTCCCTCACGCTACCGCTTCCCCTTGGTTGAATCCCCCCACCACTTCGCGAAGCCCTTACACCTGTGCGTTCGCGTTTCGGACCCCACCTATTCCGCTCGTCACTGTCCTCTTTCTAACCCCGATACTCTTCTCTCCCATCCCCCTGTTCCCTCCCTCCTCCCCCACACCTTCCGCTCCTTCATAAACACCTTGCACGCCCCTCATTTACCTGGTGTAGTATCCCGCACATCAGCACAGTGGCGAGTGGTGGCTACTGCGAGACTTCCTTAAACCAGGTTAGTGCTGCCTCTGAAGGGCTGTCTTGGTGGACTTTAGTCATCACTTGCGTGTGCTTTACAGCAGCCGCCATATGCACACGTAGACGGAGAGGATGACTTGCAAGATTCTGCCTCCCACCCCCGCTTTCCACGCCTTTCCCGCTCTCCCACCTATCGTTCCGACACCTACCCGTGGCCCTCTTTCTTCTCTGCTTCTCACTGTGTCTCGCGCCTTCCTCCCTCCCAACCCACATCCCTTCCCCCGGCCCTCCGCCAGAGCATGAGCGGCGCAACTCCCCGGCAGTGCGGGTGACGGACCCGTCAGACGCGGACGTGTTCTTCGTGCCCGTCTTCTCGTCGCTCAGCCTCGTCGTCAACCCGCTGGGGCTCGTGCGCAACTACCAGCTGCGCGCCGATGCGTGGGACGACAAGGCCATGCAGGAGCGCCTCATGGACTGGCTCGAGCGCCAGGAGCCGTGGCGCAGGAGCCGCGGCCGCGACCATGTCATCCCCGCGCAGGTGCGCTCGTGGTTCGGTGCGCCCATAGGTACGTGGTTTGGTGCCCCTGTTCCCGGTCCCCTCCCCCATTGTCTCCCCGCAGCACGGGCAGCACCAAAACTGGCGCTGTTCACGTGCTGACTTGGCTGTGGCTGCCTCTCGCATCCGCCCGCCCTCCTTCCTCCCCTGCATTCCTCTCACTCAACCATCCCCGCCACCCCCGCCCGCGGTTCCATCCCTTTTCTGGAATTCTTTCCCCCTCTTCCCCCTCCAAAAGGCATCTATCTTTCCTCTCCCCTTCCCCTCCACGTGCCCGCACCCACCACCACCGACCACCACCGCTGGCAGGACCCGAACTCGCTGTTCACAGTGCTGACGCGGCTGCGGCGGGCGATGCTGCTGGTGTCGGACTTTGGGCGGGTGGCGGCGTGGCAGGCGAACCTGATGAAGGACGTGGTGGTGCCGTACGTGCACCGCGTGTCCACCTACTCGCCCAAGGACGAGGACGACGACCGCCGCCGCGGCGTGCACGGCAACAGGACCACGCTGCTCTTCTTCATGGGCAACCGATACCGCAAGGACGTGAGTGGGCGGGGGGAGGAGGGGGTGGCAGGTAGAGGGTGGGTGGTGGTGGTGGGTTGGCGTCGGCATGGGAGTGAGTTGGAGGGGGAGGTCGCAGGGGCGTGCACGGCAACAGGACCACGCTGCTCTTCTTCATGGGCAACCGATACCGCAAGGACGTGAGTGGAGGGGGAGGGGGAGAGGTGTGTGGTGGTGGGTGAGGGCGTGGGCGTGCACTGGGGAAGGTCGCCGGGGTGTTAATGGCAACAGGACCATGCCGCTCTTCTTCTTGGGCAACCGATACCGCAAGTACGTGAGTGCCAGGGGGTGGGTGGTGTGGGTATGGGTGTTGGTGTAGGTGAGGGCGTGGGCGTGCGTGGGGGAAGGTTGTCGCGGCGTGCAGGGCAACAGGACCACGCTGCTGGGCAACGAATACAGGAAGGACGTGAGTGCGGGCGGTGGGTGGTGTAGTGGAGGGTGGCCGTGGGTTTGGTCGTGGGCGTGCGCTGGAGGGGCGTGCACGACCACAGGACCACGCTGCTAGTCTTCATGGGCAAGCGATACCAAGCGATACCAACCGATACTGGAAGGGTGTGAGTGCAGGGTGTGGGTGGTGGTGGATTGTGTGGGTATGGGTGTTGGTGTGGGCGTGGGCCGTATGGGAGGAGGGAGGTCGCAGGGGCTTGCACAGCAGGACCACGTCGCACTTTTACGGGAAAAGGGTGATGGGGTATGAAGGAGAGGGCGCGGAGAGGAGATGCTTCAGCATGTTCACATCTCTTAGCTGTGCATCTCTCTTTTCCCTTTCTCTCCCGCTCCTCCTGCTGCGCCTCTCACTGGCGATGCTCCTGGTGTGTGGTGCCACGCTCGTACATGCAAACATGGCAGGGAGGGGCGGTGCGCGACGCGCTGTTCAAGTCGCTGGAGCAGGAGGCGGACATGATACTCAGGGAGGGCACGCCCACTGTGGAGGGCCGACGAGCCACACGGTGAGTTTGTTTGGAGTCAACTCAAGAGTCACCCGTGCATGAGTCATGCATGGCAGGGAGAAGGCATGGCATGAGGCATGGTGTGCAATGAGCTCTTGAGGTTGTTGATGGGGCAGGAGGTGGACGTCAAGTTCAAGGGAGAGCACACACACCGGCACGCCTGGTTTGGAAGGTGGACGAGCCACACGGTGAGCGCTGCTCAACCCACGTGGTTGCTTCCTGGTCGGCACGTGGATGCACGTGGTTGGCCCTGAATGGATGTGTAGCACTGCTTCCCTGGTTCCCCGTTTCCCTCTACCCTTCGTTCCTCTTGCCCTCCCGCTCCCTTGTGCCTTCTACCTGCTTTCCACATCCAGTTGTCCCAACACCACCACCCCTTTCTCCCCCGCTCCTCTCCCCTCCTCCCCCGGACTCCATCTTTCAACCGTCCCGTGTGCATGCAGGGCGGGCATGCGCACGTCACAGTTCTGCCTGCATCCAGCAGGCGACACGCCGTCGGCGTGTCGCATGTTTGACGCCATTGTGAACCTGTGTGTGCCCGTGGTGGTCAGCGACGACATCGAGCTGCCCTTCGAAGACGTCCTGGACTACCGGTGAGTTTTGAGGCGCCTCAGAAGCTGCCTGCACGCTGCAGGGGACACCCCTTCCATCTGTCGCATGTTTGACGCCATTGTGAACCTGTGCGTGCCCGTGGTGGTCAGCGACGACATCGAGCTGCCCTTTGAAGACGTGCTCGACTACCGGTGAGATTCTTTTGAGTCCCCGATGCCCCATGCCCCATGTGAGATTCTTTTGAGACACCTCGCGCCTCGCTCTGTTGCGTTGCAACTGTTTCATATTCGCGCTCACAAATTAACGACCGTCCTCTATATTTCCAAACCACTTACCGCTACTGACCCTTCCTCCTTTTCTCCTGTGCGTTTGTATGCATGCGTTTTGTGTGTGTGGGTGTGTACGTGTGCGTGTGCGTGGGTGGGTGTGGTTATCTGCATGTTTGTGTATGTGTGTGATTGCGTGGGTGTGTGCGCATGTGAGTGAGGCAGGGAGTTTGCGGTTTTTGTACCGACGGTGAAGGCGGTGAGGAAGGGGTATCTGGGCAAGCTGCTGAGGGGTCGCAAGATGCAGAGCCGCCTGCCAGCCATGCAGCAGCGCCTGCGAGAGGTGCGCCCTATCTCGCATTCCCTGCAGATCATCTGTCTCGCATTCCCTGCAGAAGCAGAGCGTGCGAAGGGTGGGTTGGATCAATGCATGCACGCCTTGCAAGGCTGCAAATCATGCGCCTAATTTCTGTATTCGCTGCAGATGCAGAACCTGAGAAGGAGCTCTACCACCTTCGAACCTGCTTGCATCACACAGAGACACATCAAACCTGTAGTGCCACACGCCCGTAGTGCACCAAACCCCTCACGCAATCAACCCGCCGCTCCTCGACCCAGGTGCTGCGATTTTTCTTTTTTTAAGGTATCCGTAGCATGGCACAGTAAACCAGGTTGTTCTGTCCCTCTCCCTGTTCCTCCATCCACTTTCCACTATACCCGCCCCTTCTCGCCCTCCTGACCTTCCGTTGCCCTTCCTCGCCCCTCCTTGCTCCAGGTGCGGCACTTCTTTGAGTGGGACGCGGAGGATGGCACAGTGAACCAGGTGTGGCGGCGAGTAGCAGCCAAGCTGCCAGCCATCCGCGAGATGATCCACAGGGAGAGGCGCATGGTGCGAGGGGGGCTTAGCAACTGCTCCATGGTGTGTGCAGCCCGCAGCATCGACGTCAACACCAGCAGCACTGGCAGCGGCGGGAGTGGCGCTGGTGGCGCCGGCGGCGGTAATGGGAATAGCACTAGCAGCGGCAACGGTTCTGATGCCATGACAAGCTCTACACAGGCAGAGACTGCGGTGCCGTCTCTGTCAGCTCCTGCCGCTGCTCTGCCTGCATCATCAACATTGTCCTCTCTGTCTTCACCTTCATCTGGTTATGATGTGGGCTCCGTATCGGCCCCATCGGTCTCCGCCCCCTCAAATTCTTTTCTCTCATCTTTCTCAATGAAGATGCGGGTATCGTCAGCGTCAGAATCTAAAGCATCACAAGGATTGGCAGCATCCCAGGCTTTGGAAACACCACAAGAGTCGGAGGGTGCGGGGACGGAAGCACAGGAACCGTCACTGGGTGGAGCTGAACCAGAACCTGACGCTGATTCGAATCCAGACTCGGAATCCGAACTGGAACCAGACGGCACGTCGAAGTTCGAGCCGGGATCAGATTCGGAACAAGAATCAGATCGAGATTTGGAAGCTGAATCGGCAGCATCGCCTGATTCGGACTTGGCGTCTGATAGCAATCAAAGTAGTAGCAATGGCGAAGTTGGGGGCGGTGGTGGGGATGACGGTGGGGATGGTGGAGGGGATGGTGCCGGGGATGCCAGTGAAGACAGCAGTTCTGTGGAGGAGGAGTAAAGTGATGTGGCTGGCCATTGCCAGTGCATTGGTACTTGCCGGCCCTGGCCGCCTTAAATCCCCTCCCTTCGCCTTCTCTTTCCGCCAGCGCCCTCCTTCTCTCCCCTTCTCCCTTGGCTTGAGCTCCTATCATGTAGCTGACCTCCTTGTGTTGACGGGCATGCAGTGTGGCATGCTGCCATCCGGTATTCGTTGGGGACTTCTGACTCAGTAGTGCAGTAGATGTTGGGGACACCTCATCCCACGCTAATTCCACTTTGCAGCACCTCACATCACCGCTTCTATCCGTCACCGTTTCTGCCGTCACCTCACACCACATCTGTTGCAGCCTCTGCTGCGGCTGCGTTTGCTGTTCCATTCATGATTCGTGCTCCACCCTTCCGCTCGCCTGGCCGGAGTACAGTAAGTACCGATTTTGTCGATGCTCTTTGGTGTAGTGATGCTGGTTATACGCTATGCTACTTTACCCCGGTGCACCGAGGATAGGGTTCAAAGTAAGCTGGGAGGATATACTTTTGGTGTGCACTAACGCATGCCATGTCTTTTACTAGATTATAAATTCTACATTATACGGTACCTTGAGTTGTAGGATACGGCTAATCACATGCCGTATTTGATTCTAATTTTAACTGCATGCGATCAAAACTCACTAAATCTATGTGCTCAAGCCTTGCGGACAGTGCTTTTCGAGTGTGTGTCGACACTGCTTGAAATCAAAGTACCCGTACGGTAGTCCCCCGAACCACGTTTTCAGGGGAAGGGGGAAGGGTGAATAGCAGCACCTAGTAGTACCATGTGTGTGTGTCAGGTGACAGACAAATCAATTTAATGCAACCACAGGTGTGATGTGAATGGCTCAGTTGCTGATCCCGGTGAGCAAGGAAGGACCAGGATACTTCGCTGGATTGGACTGGAAGGCCTTGGATGACGCAGGGGGCTGCTTTCGAGAGGCGCCTTGAAGGCCAATGCACTGGGGGTGACACTCTTGCAAAAATAGCCAACAGTGCGTTGAATCAGTGTTACAACAGATGGTATACCAGTGCCATATGCCTTAAACATCGCTGTTTGTTGATGAACTGGAGTGCTTCAGTGTGTTTATGCGCAGGGGGGGGGGGGGAAACCCCGTAGTCTTTTCGACCGTCAGTGAGAAATTCCACTATCAGCGCCATTAACCGATCCGGTCAATTAGGGATTGACCCTCTTCGTATCCCGTTTTCACCGCGTGCAACACAACACAAACGTCTACACATGCCACACCAAACCAACAAGCCAGCAGGGATGGAAGGAATCAGGCACGTTTGTCAACACACCACACCACAGCACACCATTGGAAAAAAGGCTTCCTGAGAAAAGATCAGTCCTTTTTGCCAATGGTGGCGATGTCTTTCAACCCTCTGTCCTCCGTCTCAATGGCGCCTGTCGTGGTGATCATCATCGTCGTCATCATCATCATCGTCATCATCATCACCCCCCCCGTTGCGCTTGCACTTCCACCAGAGGATCTTGCGCTTCACGCACTTGGGCTTGGTGCGACACGACAGGTCCACCAGCAGCGACCCCCTGCAGCAGCACATGGCAAGGCAACGCAAGGCAATGCAAGGGATACACAAGGATGAGTGAGTGTGAGAAGAGTGCAGTCATGCGCTGCATGCACTCGGGCTTGGTGCGGCACGGCAGGTCCACCAGTGGCGACCTCCTAAAGTATGACCCATGACCCATGACCCATGACATGGCAAGCACAGCGTTTGGGACAAGTAAGAGAGGTGATTGGGAGGCGCTTGGGAGGCATCTCTAGAGCGTTTGGGGGAGCTTTGTTGTAGCGACGGCGGAGGAAGGAATGTAATGGTGAAGGCAGAGGGAAAGAGCGAGAAGCGGGCTGTTGTAGGGATAGCATGGGGTGGGGTGGGGTGCGGACAGCCCTATTCCTTCCATCCCGTCACATCCCAATCCCTGCCCACGCCCCCCCTGTCTTCCCCTCAGCCGGAACGCACTTGTTGCCGCCGTGGGTGGTGAGGGCTCGGGACTGCGAACCGGAGTAGGCCCACAGGATGTTGCTCACGCCGTTCCCATCCTTTCCCAGCCCCCTTCCCCCCCTCTCTCATTCCAAACCAAACCCAGCAACCAACGTACTTGTTGCCGCCGTGGGTGGTGAGGGCTTGGGACTGCGAGCCGGAGTAGGCCCACAGGATGTTGTTCACGCCGTTCACGTTGATGCGCCCCGATCCCTGCGTGCGCGTGAAGCTGATGTGCCGTGGGGAGGGCGGGAGGGAAGGGGGGAGCGAGGCATGGGTATGGCATCGCATGCTGCATGGAGAGAGAACGGGGAGTGCTGGAAGTTTGAGGCTTTGTGCGTGGAATTGGGGGGGGGGGGGTTGTGACATGCGACTCTCTGCTCACTCAGGAAAGCAGTGGCTCAGGGGCTCCAAGCATTTACAGCTGCTGCTAGGGCAGCGGAGTTGCCAAAACTCAAGACTGCCAAATCAAGGCTATGAATGCCAAGGCCGTGAATCTGCCAGAGCAGGGAACCTTGGGAAGCTCACGGGACAAGCGTGGAGCCGGACGGCGAGGTGGTGTTGGTGCTGGCAGCGGGGCAGAACACATTTCCCGTCAATCTAGCAGCAGTAACTCTCTACAAGAAAGGCTATCTCAGCAACCTCTCAACCAACTCACGTGACAAGCGTGGAGCCCGACGGAGAGGTAGTGGTGGCAGCAGTGCCAATAGAGAAAGAGTCGGGATTCACCCTCCCCCCCCTCCCCACCCCCTCTGCACTGGTCGACCAACGTGATGGCATAAGCGTCCACGGCCCCACCCGCCAGGTTGCCAATGGCGGCAAGAGAGGCTCTCCTCCTACAAACTCCCTCAACCCACTCACGTGACAAGTGTGGACCCGGACGGAGAGGTGGTGGTGGCGGCAGTACCAATGGAGAAACTCCCCGGGTTGACCCCTGACGCGCTGGTCGAGGTGATGGCATACGCGCCCACGGCCCCGCCCGCCAGGTTGCCAATGACGGCATCGGAGGGCGCCATGCGCGAGCTCGCCCCCACTGCCATGGACACCCATCCGTTGGCCACCGTGCCTTTGGCCTCCAGGGCGAAATCTATGGCGGATGCTGCTGCTGCCTTCCAGTGCATGATGAGGCTGGTGGGGGTGGGGGTGGGGGAGGGAGATGTGGTGGGGAGGAGGGAGAGGAGGGTTGGGAAACGAGTGGGTGAGGTTTTTAGTGTGGGCGATGGTGGTATGAGGGGCGGAAGCAGGAGGTAGAAATCTAAGGGGATCAGGAGGAGAAGAAGTAACGGACAGCGAGAGAGGATTTCCATGGATCGGGCAATGGAAGAGGAGAAGCAATGGGCTTTGAGAGCAGATGGAGAGGGAGGTTGGGACGTGCGTGTGCGCCGCGCTTGCATGCGTGCGTGTGTGTGTGTGTGTACTCACTTGTTGCCCCCGAGGTTGGTCTGGTAGTCGAAGCCTGTGAGCGTGGAGGCAGGGCACATGGACGCCACCTTGGTGCCATCACATGTGAAGTCGATGCTGCGACTGCCGCTGGTGGACGGAATGGGAGGTCACGGGAGGGGAGGGGAGGGGAGGGGAGGGGAAGGGAGGGGAGAGGACGGGAGGGGAGGGGGAGGTGAGGTTGGGGTGACGGACGGGTGCGTGCGCACATGTGAGAAACGGTGGAGGCACATGGGGGTGGGCTGCTTTGGGTGCAGTAGAGTTTTTGCAGCCGTACCGGTTGTCGCCACCGTGGTTGTCGAGCGTGGCAGTGCCGTCAGCAGAGTAGGCCCACACCATGTAGTTGCTCCCCGCCACGTTCACTGGCACTGCCCCCCCGTCACCCGTTGACCGCGAAAAACTGCGACGGGGGCGAGAGGGGGCAGGGAGGGAGGGGAGGCGGGAGAGGGGAGAGGTGACAGAGGGAGAGGGGAAGGAAGGTGAGGGATGGGGAGAAGGGGTAAGGGTGGGCAGAAAGTGGGTGCACGGTGTAAAACGCGTTTGGAAATCACAAGGGAGCGAAGAACGAAGCAGCAGCGAATATGGAAGGGGAGGGTGGAGCGGGAAGGGGGAAGGGGGAATGGAAAAGGTGGAATCGGGAGTAACATTCCCATGGTGAAACGTCAAACGATATGCCAGCCATCACGAGCAACATCAGCAACAAACATCGTTATGGTCACCACGACCACGACCACGACCACGACCACGACGACGACGACGACGACGACGACGACGACGACCACCACCACCACCACCACCACCACCACCACCACCACCACCACCACCATACCATGAACACAATCATCGACTCACGTGAGCACGGCGTTAGTCCCAGGAGTCGCCGTGAAGCTCGGCGCGCTGCCGAGCGTGAACGTTGTCGTGGTCGCGACGCCCGCCGTGGTCTGCCCCGTCATCACATACGCATCGTACTCCGGCGTGCCGCCCGGAATCGCGATCACCGCGTCGCTGCCCACCATGCTGCCGTCCGGCGACCACCCCACGGAGAACCACCCGCCGGCCAGCGTCGCGCCCTTGGCTTCTAGCGCCATGTCCAGCTGCGTGCCGCCCGCCGCCACCACGTTCCAGTGGAGAACGAGTCTGCAGAGGAGGGGGGGGGGGGATGGGGGGAGGGGGTGTAACGTTGGGGAGGAAAGAAGGGGAAAAAAAGGTAAGGGGGTAAGGGGATTCTCTCGTTTGGAACCGGCGAAACGCGGGGTTGGCGGTGGCCCATCATAAGAGTGCGCTACGATATGGTATGGTACGTAACGGCACGACGTGAAAGATACGAAACGACGCCACATGAGACGATACGTAACGACACGATGCGTTTTTCACGGCGCGAAACACACTCACCCTGTGCCCGAGAGGTCCACAGACGACGTGAATCCGCTCAGCGAAGACTTCTGACACGCGCCGGTGGGCGCGCTGCTCGGCGGCTTCTTTCCGCGGATTTTCTTCCACCACTTGCGCAACCGGCCGATGAGCCCCATCGGCTGCGCCACCGCGCGTGACTGGGCCGCGCTTCCGCCTCCGGCGCTGGTTCCAGCGCTGCCGACTGCGGCGGTGGCAGTGGCGGTAGTGCCGGCGTGAAGTGCGGAGGGGCCGGGGAGAAGGCCCTGCGAGCGGAGCGACGCGTGCGCCGCAGGGATGAGGGCGGGGAGCAGAAGGGCGGAGAGTAGCGAGAGGAGGAGGAGGCTTCCTCCCCGCGGGAAATGCGGGTAAACGTTCATGACGTTGCGGCGCGGAGGAATAATGCGCGGTGAGTCGTTGCGCCGTCGCATGGCGGGGGGACCAGCGGGAAAAAGGCTGGGAAAGCTCCGCTGCCTCTTCCAACGTGACTTTCTCGCGGAGGCCACGGAATGCGGTTGACGCGAAGCACGTAATTATGGGCGCAAAGAGTTACTAGCCGAGATTTTCCGAGGAGAATCGTAAAACTATCAGACTCGTAGGGTCCTTACGACGATGAGCGCGGGAAGAGGGTCTAATTCGGAGAAATGCTAAGTGCTTCGTCGTGAGGAAGAACAGGCGACAGGTTTTTATCAGCCAAGGCGTCGACTGCACACAAGCGGTTGACAGGCTGCTGCTGAAACCGCGTTTCGTTGGCGTGGCGTGGCGAGGCGAGGAGAACGAGGCGGAACGGGACGGGAGGGATTCATCATGAATGCCCTACCCAGCCCACCATAGAATGGAACAGTGGATGGTTTCGTGTCGGGAGTGGATTCCACCATTTCAAGGGCTTGAACAGTAGGAGGGAGGAGAGAGGGAGTGGAGATGCGGTGGCGGCGGCTATTGAAATGGTGGTGGCGCGGGGAAGTCAATCATGGGAATGCAGAAACAGCTGGATGAGGTAGCGTGAAGACATTATTAGAGGGTTTGGTTACGGTGTAAGGGTTCGATCATGGGGGGTCTTCAGAATAGGGGGAGGGAGGGGGAGGGCTTTGCTAGATGCGGAAAAGGTCGGTGGGGGCGTGCAAGCGCGCGCCGAAATACAAGATGGCAGCACACGTTTCTTGCGCTGCTCTGGAAATTAGGGCAATTCAATGAAACCTAAGAAAATCTGGCACCCTACGATCTTTTAAATTGCTGCCAGGGTTAGTGGGTGTTCGGCGGGGTTAGTCAGTTTGAGCAGGCCTGAGCAGGATTTAGAAAAATATAAGCGATTAACATAAACAGAGTTGATAGAAGCTCATATAGCTGCTCCTCAAATGACAAGTTATGCCCAAAACATTTAGACAGTGCCCTGGACGGTGGAGCACAACGCTTGCTAGATTCTAGACTTCCATGACCTAGTGTAGGCCGGTCTGGCCCACGATGAGGTCGTGATGACCAATCAGCGTCCGAACAACATAGACAACACTGTGTACTTATTGCAAATCGGCAATTGCGAGATTATGTTTCAGTACAGAATTCCTCGTTAAGGCGTTGTAACATGGGTGATTTATTTTTTGATATCAAAATACATTACAACAATGTATAGACATCGGCAGTCGTAACTGTAGGGTTGAGGGGAGCGCTACAAAAGCTAGTAATGCAGATCCCCTCTAAGGCAGCTACGGTGGCTGATGTGTCAGCCTGGGGTTGTCCCACACAGAGCTGAAGCCGATCCTCCACGCCAGCGATGGGTCACTGCTGCAAATACGCCGCATCACCACTGCCTCGTTGTCTGCCAGGTACGCCCAGTCACTGTCCAAGGCATGTCCCTTCTCTGCGCGCCGCGCAGTATATCCTCGCATGTGCGACAAACTTTACCACCGCCTGCCGAGTCACCTTCCCAGGTTGGAAGGCTTCATTCCTCCACACCGCGTTGCATCTTGCCAACCATACTTGATGCAGGAATGTTGCAATCCATGTCCCTTCTGGAAAGCCCGACCTTGTACTTCTTTGCATGAAGAGCAGATCCTCCAGATCCTGCCACACTAGGCCCGGGCGCATTATTTCCAGTCCATGCCTCATCACATCCGCCACCCCCTGCACCGCCAGGCAGTCAAGGAGGCAGTGATCTGGGGTTTCCTCTCCCTGGCAGTGTGGCAGACCACCCCCATGAAAAACAGCCTCGAGCCCACTTGCAGGTTCCTACAGTGGAGCCGTATGAGGATTTCACGTGCCCGCCGTGGGGTGACCAGGGAGTCCCTCTGTTCGATTACTCTGTCCCACTCGATCACCCTCCTCTGTCCTTCCCATCTCTTTTGTTCATCTTGTGGTCCGGTCGAGTCTGCCAGCACCTTCCTTATCCCTTTCAGCGTGATCAGCTCCCCTCCTTCGCATGCCGCTGAGAGCAAAAGCTTCGTCCGCACGTCCCCCATGGGGCCCAGGAACACACTCCCTTCCGTGAACATCGGCACCCCGCTACGCAGGTTGAAATACATCTTGAGGTTTCCCTCGTAGGGTGAGAAGTGCCCTCCGTCCCCTATATCGCATAGTATCCCCTCCACCGTGTCGCCTCTTGCTTCGCCCACTTTCCAGTAGGTAAAACCACCAGTTGCGCCGTTGCTCGACCGTAGAAGCTTCACCGTAGCCACGATCTCCTCGCTTGTCAATTTCGCGAGTACCATCTCCTTCCAGGTTGCTGGTGCTGCGTTGAAAGCCCTCAACGCCCACTTCGCCTTCTCCCTGCAGCCGAGCTCCCTTGCTAGTGCTGCCAGCTTCTTGAGCTCACATGTTCCGTCTCGCGCTTTAACAATCAGGTCTCCCATGCGGATGCCGAGTAACGCCTCTGCACCTTTCTGGTTCCCGAAGGGGCTCGCGCCTCTGAAGGGGATATTCGGGTTGAACGCCAGATGTTCCTGTTCCACCTCCCAGCGGTTTGTTGGAGCCCGTGGTTTGCATAGCGGAGAGACCCAGAATTTTCCAATTAACTCCTTCCACCGCTCGCTCCCTTTCTCCCAGTGATCCAGCAGCGACCTGTGTGCGAAGATTGTGTCCAGATCCAGGGGCATCTCCGCCGCTTTCTCCGCCAGCCACTTCTTGACCGAGTTTGGTTTCAGCACCAGCTTGCAGACACAGCGGATGGCGATGCTGTCGACCCGTTTTTCGGGACATATCAACCCCAATCCCCCGTCTTTCCGCGGCGTGCAGACCAGCCGATAATTCCAGAGGATGAATTGCTTCTCTTCCACCGCTTCCCCTTTCGAGATGAAGGTGTGGCACAACTTGCGGATCTTCTTCCATATGGCCTCTGATGGCAGGTAAACTTGTGCCTGGAAGAGAAAGATCGGCACAATGTAGCTGTTGACTATCGTGACCCTTGCTGACGTTGTCGGATGCTGCATTTCCCACTTCGCTAACTCCCCTTTCGCCCTGTCCAACGCTTTGTTCCAGGATGGAGTCGGGTCACCGTTCGGCGTAATCCAGATCTCCAGAAGACGCTCCGGTTCATCCTTGTCCGCCCATTTGTAATTCAGGTTTTGCGGCGCTGTCTTTCCCCGGTTCTTCCCCAGCGGGAAGATTATCGTTTTCCCCTCGTTCACCTTCAGCCCCGACTCTTCTCCGAAGGCTGACAGCACCCCTGCTGCTGCCTCCAGCTGCTCCACACCGTGTAGTAAGAGAGAGGTATCGTCAGCATACCCCAGGTACGCCAGTTTCCCCACGCCTTTCTTCCCGATCCCCAGCTTTGCTCTGCTGATCTCCTGACATAACGGTTCTACCGCGCAGAGAAAAAGGTACGGCGCCAGCGGACAGCCTTGGCGCACGCTCTTTTCCACTGCCACCTTGTCCCCTGTCCATCCGTTGATGTGCAGACATGTACCCGCTTCTTTGTGTAAACCTATCGTCCATCCCACGAAATCCTCCGGCAAACCCAGCTTCCGTAGCGTTCCGAATAGGTAATCACGCGATATTGAGTCGAAGGCCTTCTGAAAATCGATCATCATCAGGTACCAGTCCTCCTTCCCGTTAGCACCTGCTTCAATGGCGTCTGCTACCACCGACACCGTGTCTGCCAGCTGCCGACCAGGTATGAAGCCATATTGGTCCTCCGAGATGACCTCGTGTAGTACTGCCTTGAGTCTGCTCGCCATCACCTTTGCGATAATCTTGTACACTGTGCTTAGAAGCGTTATCGGCCGATAATTCCCTAACTCGCTTTTTTCGCCCTTCTTATGCAACAGGATGGTCACCGCTGTGGAGACACTGTGCGGCAGCTCATCTCTTTCCGCGAACCTCCTCACCAGATCCATCAGTATCGGCCCCAGCAAGTCCCAGTTATGGTCGAAAAGCTCCTTAGGCAAGCCGTCTGCTCCTGGCGATTTTCTCGGAGCGAGTTCCTTCACCGCCTTCCGTACATCGGCCTCCGACCATGGTGCACTTAGCGCCAATCTGCTCTTGTCTCCCAGTGTCCGTTGCACGGGGTGGGTCGTCCTGCCAGGCACCACTCCTCCGCCTGTGCAACTGAAGGCTTCGCGGAAATGATCCGTAGCCGCCGTGAGAACCTCCTTCACCCCCGTAGAGATGATCCCGTTCCTTGATACCTCTCGGATTACCGTCTTCGCCTTTCGAGTTTTGATTTGCGCCGACAGTGCACCTGACGCCACCTCCCCGTCCATTTCAGCCTCTATGCCTGCCCATGTTTGCAGTTGCTCCTTGCGATTTTTCTCGTATGCATCCAACAGTTCCTCTTTTACGGAGTAGGATACGTCCCGTCCTTTGGCAGTGTGGAAAGCGCGATAACCGCTCCCTGAGCCGTTCAACCTCCTTAGTGAGATGAAGCCTCGTCGCCTTCTCCCGCTTCCTCTCCTCCCTTGAGTACGCTTCCAGGCACGCGGTCAGCCTTTCCAGCAGTCTCTCGACTGATCCGCCCGCCGACTCCTCAATGATCTTTTTTATTATCTTCCTGACTCCACTTTTTTTTGCCTGCTCCGCCCGTAACCTCCAGATGCCTGGCCCGTTCTTCACGGCTTCAGCGGATTCCAGCACCACGCCTATTCCGTTCCAGTGATCTGTCATACCGTTTGTAATCGCCACATGTCTCGCCTCTGCCAACTTGCACAACAGCGGCTGCGAAATCAGCGCCCTGTCTATCCTTGAGCTGGATCGTGTGATGAAGAAGCACTCTGTCGAAGCCTATTTCAAATCCATACACTCAATCGTAAGATCAATTACAATAAATCCATCATTGTCAAAGTGAACCATTAGCATTTACTCCCCTATCTGAAATAAACACCTGTTGCTCTTTAGCCTACAGAATGCACAGATGCATCAGAAGCGAAACGGGGTGACAAAGGATGAGAAGCGTCCGGACTTGGTGCCTGCAAGAACAGAAGACAGCGAGCAAAACAGGGACAGCAACAAGTTTCAGTCAATATCACCAGAAGGTGCGTGTTTCAGCTCTGGGGAGGAGCGAGTTTCATTCAGTGGAATAATGATTATATATATATATATGTATATATATATATATATAAAGAAACACCCAAGTCAGGAAAAGGGAAGAAAAAAACTGACTAACTCACATTCTCGCATGCACTGAGAGGAGCACTGCCGGACGGCTTTCCTGGCATCAGCATCCTCAATAGTGTAGCCTGTCGACCGTAGCACCACCTCCCCATGCCTCCTCATCGCCCCCTCACACGCCTTGTCACATGCCACACTGCAGCTGCCGTCCCTCTCACTCCCCTCGCCCTTGCCACACACGGCGTTGCCTATCACAGACACCTGGGCATGACAAGGGTGCGCAGAAGGTGAGAAAAGGGAAAAGAGCCGAGAAAAGGGAAGTCTCACGGCTGCTCGTGCAAGGCGAGGAAAAAACAGCGTGAGTGCAGGGAATCATGAGGCACAAAGAATCTCCTGTGCGGGTTTGACGCTACTGTGCAACTGCCTACTGTGTAAGCAGTATAATGGGCTGGTGGTTACCTTTGCCCCAATCGGGAGGGCTTGCAGTTCAGGCGTCTCTGCTGCATTATCTAATGCAGCCACACTGACAGGACGGGCAAAGGGAGGATGGTGGAGAGATGGATGTAGTTGGGGAGAGTGCACGGGTGAATCAATGTGAAGTCGCCCGTGCACGCAATGGAGCTAACAGGCTGCTGTCACATGTGTGTGTGTGTGTGTGTGTGTGTGTGTGTGTGTGTGTGTGTGTGTGTGTGTGTGTGTGTGTGTGTGTGTGTGTGTTTGTGTGTGTGTGTTTGTGTGTGTGTGTTTGTGTGTGTGTGTATGTGTGTGTGTGCGCGCGTGTGTGTGCGTGTGTGTGTATGTGTCTGTCAGAATGTGTATGTATGTGTTTTAATGTACGTTGATGGTGTGAGTGTGAGTGAATGCGTGTGAACGCATACATGTGTGTCTGTGTGCGTGCATGTGTACACACGCTCGCATGTGTCAGTCAGCAAGTTCTCAAACAGTTGACGACGAGAGGAAGGAAAAGAAAAGTTTCATTCTTCAACAGGGTGTGTGAAGCGCTGCACTTCAGTGAAGAATTACACTGCCCTAGGACAGCAATAGCCAGTCAACTCTACATGCATCAGCACCACTGGCCTTACCATGCTGTGGCTGTGAACCCCTTTCCCCGGGAGAGCACCTTCTCTCCCTCCAGCCGCTCAATGTAGTACTTCTTCCTGCCATTCCATGCCATGCCATGCCATGCCATGCCCACGCCGCTCCACACCATGCCACAAATATGCCATCCCATGCCATGGTGGCACGAGCAGCGGATACGCACGAGGGATATGACGGCCCTAATAGCAGCGGTGTTGGAAAGAAAGGATGGGGATGACTAGTGCGGGTGTGATGCTCTACTCGGTGAAGTCATGCGATGCCTGACAAACCAGTTCAACCAACCGTCAGCCTATCCCTAAAAACCTGCTGCTTCGCCAAAGCCATTAACTCGAACTTGGAACATGAATCTCTCGTTTCTCAGCGAACCAGCTCCACTGTCCCTCCCCCCTTGCTCCTCCCGCACCACCCCCACTTTCCCCCTTCTCCCCCCACCCTTTCCTTCCCCTTCTCCCTTCCCCCATTCCCCCTTTCTCTCTCTCCTCCCCACCCTCTCCTCCGACTTTCTCTCATCCCCACCCCCGTCACGCACTGCACGGTGCCGTAGAGAGTGAACGGGTTGATCGGGTCCTTATCGCCCTCCCATCCTCCCCCGAACAGGGCCCCCACGTCCCACGCGCGCGCTGCCACCCGCGCCTCACTCCCCGCCGGTCCCGGCACCCAATCAAAGCTCGCCACGGCGGCAGTCAGCAGCGCCAGCGACCACGCTCGAATCACCGCCCGCCGTCCCACCAGCTGCGGCCGGCTGCCGCTCTGCCGCGCGCCGTTCGTGTGATGGGCAACGCGGTGCTGCCGATCGTCCGGCAAGACTACCGTCCTACCGTCTGCTGGACGACCGTCTATCCTGCCCTGTGCTTCGCTACCCTTTCTGCCTTTCTGCTGCCGACCCCGTTGTTCCCTAGACCCCCCTTGCTTTCTTATCTCCAGTTGCTTCCGTTGCGTCAGTTGCTCTCCCTTCAAGTCACCCTCCTCGCGTGGAGGCTCCTGTATTGCGGTGCTTGCGGTTCCCCAAGCGACTGCGTTTGCCGACGCTCGCGAATACTCATCTGTTGCGTGACTGCTCGTGGCAATTCTGCATCCTACGGTGGCCCCGTAAGCGTGACCCCCTGCGAAGGGGCTCTCCGCGAAAAGGGTGACCCAACGTCGCGATGCAGAGGGAGCGGCGACCTGGCGAAGCCATGGCGCCCCGGCATTGCCGATCCCTGTCACGTGTTGGCTTTCCCGAGGGATGGAAGCCTGAGCTGTGGGATTTCTTGCATCTTGTGTGAATGCGGACGGCGAGGCGCAAACGCCACGTGGCGTAATGGGAGTAGCCGCCATAGGATGCAAGTGGTGAACTTGGGGCGTTGCCGTGGTGACAACCGAGTGGGATGGATTTGGGTTGGGTAAGTAGCTTTCGCGGGGGTACTACTAGGGACCCCGCGCTTTCTAGGGAGCTACAGTGCCAGCTCGGGGCACTTTCCGCCCCTCCGTGCTTCAGACGGGAATTATAGCAACAACACATAAATCTTCCCCACTGTTAAGGGGGGATTTACTGTTCATTCCGAACAGTACTTTCCAACTCACCTTTATCCTTATCTTCCTTGATTTCTTAGTGCCACGTGGCACTCTACCTTTCTTGCCTTCAATTCATAGTCTCACGAAGTACTTTCCGACATTCGATCTTGCATGCTATATCAACATTGCTTGTACTTACCATTATCAACCAATTCTCATTCAACTCTTCTTCAATTACTCAGTAACTTCTTCGCCTATTTTGCCAATAGTTCTTTCGCCAAAGTCTTCCGCCGCGTTTCATCCTCGACTTAGTCGACCCCGCTAATTCTTTAGCGGACTTAGGCCGTCGGGCCTAACACTTGGTATCAAAGCCTTCGCGGGGAGCGAGTTCCAATGAACGACCGTCGACGACGAGATTACGACGTCATCGTCCCGCGGTGCCGACTTGCAGACTTGGAGTCGTCAAGCGAACATGGACGAAACCATGCACGCTCTCCCCCACGACATGGGCAATACGCTTGCCCAACTCATGCGCCAACTTCGAGAGTTGACGTTGGAAAACTGTCAGGTACAAGCTGAAATGCAACAGCTTCGAAAATTGGCTTCTAACCCCCATGGTCATGCTGCACCAACTCTTGCGCCCAATAGGTAGACTGGCGCAGAAGCGCTGCAGGTACGTCGAAGCGTTAAAGCCGCAGAAACCCGAGTCGTTCGACCCAAGTCAACGCGACGCGAACGTGCAGACACGGCTCATCCTGCTGAACAACTACTTCACCGCGAGCGGGATGCAAGAGGCAGATGCGCAGCAGCGGATCGAGTACGCTGTTACGCTGCTGAGGGGCCCGGCCTTGGAGTGGTGGCGCCAACTCACGCAAACTGCTGTAAGAAGGGCTCAGATAGACGGGCATCAACAGGGCGTGGGGCATGCAGCTGCAACTTCGAGCTTAGGGAGTTTAGCTTTGGATGTTACCACGGTTCCGACCACATGGGAAGGATTTGAAGCGGCGCTGAAAAGTAGGTTTGATTTGGTGAATGCCTCCGAAGCTGCTAGGAAGCGTCTACGTCATTTCCGACAGATAGGAAACGTACAGAAGTACACACGACGGTTCTTGAGCATCTGCAACGAAATAGATGACATCACGGAAGCAGAGATGCGCGATCGCTACCTCGAAGGGTTGAAGCCGGACATAGCGGAAGTTATAGCGATTCACGGGTTGTCCACCTTCGAGTCAGTTGTCGCAGCAGCACAACGCGTCGACGTAGTACGAAGTCGACGGGGTCGTGACGATCGCGATAGGGGATACAAACCGATCAACGACGCTCGATCGAGGGACGGACCGTCACCCATGGAGATAGGTGCAGTTAACAGTGACGGCTCACAGAAAATGGGATTTAGGGGGAACTGTCACTATTGCAAAAAGCCGGGACACATGAAGCGGGACTGCCCACAGCTTAAGGAGCGGCAGCAGGGAAACGGAAACCGCCAGTAGATAGCGGGTCGCTAGCTGGTGTGGACGTTCCTGTACCCGCCACGTCTACCAACGTAGAGGAGACGGCTTTGCAGCAGTCATCTACGGAGAACTCGGTAGACACGGTTGATCGTCTAGTCGTGCTTCTAGGGAAGCTTCGCGGAGTACCAGTCAAGATTCTCGTAGATAGCGGAGCCAGCCCTTCGTTCGTGTCTTCATCGCTTGTTAGTCGTCTCCATCTTGAAGCAGATTCAGCAGTCAACTTCAAGGATGCTCGCATGGTAGATGGGACGCCTCTTCACATAGGACCGATCATTCGCAAGTTGCGCGTAGTGCTAGGACCGATCACAGTTACGCGTGATTTCGATTCTGCCACACTGGACGGTTACGACTTCAACTTCGGTAGGGATTGGCTACGGACGCTTAGTACTCAGTTCGATTGGGCTCAGGGAAGCTGCAGCGTCAAGGTAGACGGGGAGTTTCGGGAGCTGTCATAGTGGAGCGATGGGGCCACATCATCCACAGCTATCATTAATGCTGTTCGTGTGCGTCAGTTGGTGAAGCGTGCGGCACGGGTCTTCGCGGTTTCCCTTGAGGAGATGGAAGCTGAGGAGGGGAAAGGAGGGAGTGCAGCAGTTGGTGAGAAGACGACTCTTCCTTCTGAGCTGAGTGCACTATTAGCAGAGTTCGCAGACCTCTTTCCCGACGAGTTGCCCCCAGGGTTACCTCCCAGCCGAGCAGTAGATCATCGAATAGGGTTGGAGCCGGGGAGCAGGCCAGTAGCAAAGCCGCAGTGGAGGTTGAGTCCAGCGGAGACAGAGGAGATGACACAGCATGTTAGGCATTTTCTCGCGCAGGGTTTCATACATCTAGATCGCCTTGGGCAGCACCGATCCTTTTCGCGCCTAAGAAAGACGGAGGGCTACGGATGTGCATAGATTACCGCGTACTGAACGCCGCCACCGCCAATAATATATTCCCAGTTCCGAGAGTAGAGGATCTTCTCGATGCAGTGCAGGGCGCTAGAGTCTTCTTAAAGATCAACCTTCGTTCGGGTTACCACCAGATTCGTGTAGTTCCAGAGGACCAGCACAAGACGGCGTTTTGTACGAAGTAGGGGTTGTAAAGTTTAGGGTTCTGCCGTTCGGTTTGACCAACGCCCCAGCGACGTTTCAGACGCTCATGAACACAGTCCTCTCGGAGTTCTTAGGTTCGTTTGTTGTAGTCTACCTAGACGACATCTTTGTTTTTTCCAAGACGAAAGAGGAGCACGTGCAGCACTTGCAGAAGGTCTTTGAGGTCTTGAGGAGGGAGCAGTTGTACGCGAAGCAGTCAAAGTGCGAGTTCTTCCTCCCCGAGGTCGAGTTTCTAGGTCACGTCGTATACGCTAGTGGCATTAGGACCGACCCAAAGAAGATCGCAGCAGTACAAGATTGGGTGGCACCGACCTGAGTCAAGGAGTTGTAGAGCTTCCTCGAATTCGCAAATTATTACCGTCGTTTTGTTTAGGGTTACGCATCGATCCCTAGTCCACTCACCGACCTACTTCGAAAGGGCGTAGAGTACTTTCGGGGTCCAGCGCAACAGCAGGCGTTCGAGCAGATGAAGCAGTCGCTCACGTTATCACCGACATTGTCGTACCCTGATCCCACTCGCTCGTACGTTATAGTGACCGACGCTTCAAATCAGGCCATAGGAGCAGTGCTTCTTCAGGACCAAGGACGCAAGTTGCAGCCGATCGCGTACGAGTCGCGTAAGCTTAGGGGAGCAGAGTTGAACGATCCCATACACGACGAGGAGGCGCTCGCGATCATTCATGCGTATAAGATGTGGAGGTGCTACCTAGAGGGGGCAGAGATTGTTATACGCACGGACCACAGTTCGCTTCGCTTTCTCAAGTCGCAGCCGCAGCTGAGTCGTCGCCAAGCTAGATGGATGGAGTTCATGGAGGGGAGTTTCCACCAAAGGATAGAGTGCAAGCCAGCCGTGCGCAACCCAGCAGATCCGCTCACTCGCCCTAGTTGCCAGCTCGCTAGCCTCACAGTCACTGCTAGCCATCCACTTCTCACACCACTCTTCGAGCACGGTTACACAGTAGATCCCGACTTCATAGCACAGCCGCCTGCAGGAGCAGAGGTGCAGGGTAGTGTCTACATACGGAAGGGTACCACACGGATTTGGGTACCTGTTGAAATGAATGAACAGGAATGGATGAACTAACAGTGAAAACAGTACAAGTATCTAACCCTAGAATTGTGTACCCCCTATAGGCTAACCCACTGTAGCCTAAACAAGCACAACATATATAATGTTTGACACACCCCCATAGGCGAAGTGGGGAGAACTGGGGGTCATAAGACCAGTCAAGGCAAAGCAAGGCAAAACAAGCTCAGGGTGGATCTCAAGGATACCACACAAATTCCGAGCACAAGCAAGTGGTCACAAGACCAGTTCACATGCAGGTTTATAATTGAACAAGAGGTACAATGATTACAACATAGCAAGAGTAAACATGCAGCTATATATATATATAGAACACAGTACAAACAAACTAAAGAAGTAAACAAGAGAGGTCCAGTAGGCACAAGGCATAGAAGAGTGCAAAAGCGCTGATGGTCACAAGGCTGAAGCGCCTTGGTGAACACATTAGCAGTGTTGGCCTTAGAGGCCACGTAATGCAGACGAAGCTGACCACGCTGCTGCAGCTCTCGAGCAAAGAAGTAGCGCAGAGCAATGTGCTTCGTTCTGTGCTCCAGTCTGTGCTCCTGACACAAGGCAATGGCTGACTTGTTGTCGACGTACAGCACTGGACGAGAACGAGGCCGCTCTTCAAGATTGGTCAGCAAGTAGGTGAGCCAGCGTAGCTCCTAGGCCGCCATGGCTGTGGCGTAGATCTCAGCCTCACAACTGGAGCTGAGAACAGAAGAAGAGAGAGTAGAACGCCAAGAAACTAAACCAAAGCCAAGACTGAAGGTGTAACCCTGTAACGACCGCTGAGTAGCCTGGTCGTCTGCCCTAGAAGCGTCTGAGTGCCCAGTGAGAACAACTGGGACTCGCCGTCCAAGGACTAGCCCCATGCTCGACATACTGCACAAATAGCGCAACACCCTCTTAGCTGCATCCATGTGCTCCTTCCGGTGACGGCCGGGAGCGACATAGCGTGCAAGAATGCTAAGACGGTATGCAAGGTCAGGTCGAGTGCAGGTCATCAGGTACATGAGGCAACCCACAAGCTCTGGATACGGGCCACTCGGTTCTACAGACTCATCCGAAGGCAGAGCTGAGAGCGAGTGATCGGTAGGCAGAGGAGTGGGCTGAGGCAAGGAGTACGTGAAGCGGAAGCGCTGAAGGACC